GGGGGGTGGTGGGGGGGCGGGGTGTTTACGTCACCAACCAGTGCCTCATCACATCCCATCATACTACAGTTAATAGAATTTCCTAGAATTCTACATTTTGTCCATTTCTTCTCAAACACCTGTGTTGAAAAATGTTCTGAAACTGAACAGCCGTCCTCGTCCTCCTGGACCTGTCATTGTTCATTGTTCGTTTTCTTTCTTTTTTTTGCATTAATCCTTTCATTTTCTTCTCCATTCATTCAGCTTCTATCCATTCTTCATCTATGTAGGAAATGTCCATGTTTTCATTAACATGAGGAAACAGACATTGGTTCGTTTTATGGTAAATCAGTGCATCATCTGCAAAGTATGTGACTAAGGTTAGTCAACTTTAACCAGAAACAACCCAGATTCGTTTCCTTCCACCTAACCTTTCTTTTTTTAAACTTCCAACCAACCCGTTCTCAACACTTTATCCCAGAAAAGCATTTAATTCGGTAAGAGAAAGAAGAAGGAAACTATGACTAAGGCGCTTTGAAAAGACAAAATCAAAGACATAAACAGAGGTGATGATGATACTGTTTCAGTCATCCAGGACACAAATAGCAGACATCCGACTCACGGCCTCTTCCTGTGGTCTGGGAATAGTGAATGGGCATCTCGGGCTTGGGCATAATGAGTGTATTTGCGTGTGCCTGGTTGGCAGCGTATACTGTCTTAGCATGAACTGAACTGAACTGAACTGAACTGCAGCACAGACACAGACACAGACCAAGACACAGACAGTGGGTAACAGCCCTGGAAGCTGTGGTCGGTTCAGGAGGAAATGGCCGAGGGCTAATGCTGCCAGAGACCAGGAGACCACGAGGACCAGATAAAAGAAGACGGACACACAGATGATGAGAGACGGAGCGCTCGCTCTATTTGTGTATCCTGTGAGTGGCACGGCGTGGACGGGCTGCGTTAGCGCGGTAGTATATACCGCGAGAAGCCACTGCCGTCGTCATCGTCCAAACTACGAACACGCTGTAAAGCAGGACGTGCACCAATCAACTGATGATGTAGAGGAACAGGAAGCTCACGCTGACAAGCTGAAGCTAACATCGCTAACGTTAGCTGTGTCTCTGTGATATATGTGACAGTACTGTTAGCTGTGGTGACGCCACCGTGAACTGAACGGGAACCATTTTTATTTAGTACCTCGTTCCAGTCACCAATAAGTTTATTTTGAAAGTCGTTGAACCAGAGGGAAATGTTTCACAGTCACTGGTTGTGAGAATAAAGTTTTGTTCTGAAGGAAATAGGAATCAGCAAAAACAAAACAAAAAAAAAGATATTCTGAATCAGCCAAGAAAATTGCGATCGCTGCATCTCCAACAACCATCGCTAACATCTTTAACAACCAAATGCTGCGACTGCATTAAGAACCAACCACCGCTCGCGCCGCCAGTTTGTCCAACCATCTTTACATTAGTTAGCGGTTAGCACAGATTAGCCTCGAATATTGATTGGAAGCGATCTATTTCAGGTCGGTTTGGTAACGCTACGGTTTTCCAGCAGTGGTGAAAGATAAGTTGAAATTGTCTGTGATTAAAAAGATGCCGACTCAGTCCAAACACCATCGGTGGGTTTGACTGGTACCAGGAGGAAAAACCAGCTGTGAGAGGCAGCGACAGTATTCCTCAGTAGTTGTCATCAGTTTCATAAACTGCGAGTGCGAAACCATGTGTAACAGCTGGTTAACGAACGATCGGAAAAAAAAAAAATCATGTCTTTCTGTGACGAAAATGTCCCAAACCACGATGTCGATACTGAGGTCTGTAACAATAGTACCATCTACAGCCCACCCTCCTACACATGGTGTTGACCTGGTACCGATGACCCCTCCCTCCACAGCCTTGGCCTTGAGTTTCCGAGGCCCTTGACTTTGTGAGTCTCTGTGGTCAAATCCATCTGTGTCACAGCCCGTCAAAAATAGTCACAATGCTGCAGCTCCCACAGTAATTACACAGTACAGTGGAAGAGCCAGTGTCACCCCCCCACAGGATGTTCCGGCAATGATCTTTCCAGGATTCAGTGTAAACTCCCTGCTCCCTCCACTCTCCACCGTGTGGCAGTCTCTCTCTCTCTCTCTCTCTCTCTGTTGTACTACGCTGTTTGTTTTACTCAAAACGTAGAACTGAGCTAGAATGAAGTATTACCGTGTACCGGGTACTTCATTATAACTGTTACCTTCTGAGACTTAAAAAAAACCCCAGTCTTGAGCCAGTGTTGTTACTGGTCATGTCGTATGTGGATGTGTGTGTTCATAGTAGTGCTGTGTATTGGCGAGAATCTGGCGATACGTATCGCAATACACGGGCAACGATACGATGTATTGCGATATACTGTGATACTATAGGCAGTATGTGCTACGACGTAAACACCAGACAAGAAGAAAAAAGTCAAAAAAATGAACCAACCAACATGGATATTTAACTGTTGATAAATATTGATACAATCGATATGGAATTGCGAAACAAAATATCACGATATTTCAATGTATTGTTATTTTCTCACACCCCCGTTCGTAAACTTGCTCCTTCCTGCAGCTACTGAGTGACCTAATAACTAGAACCAGACGGATTAGATCAGCACAGTTAGCCTCGCAGTACAAACCAAGTATTTTTTTTTTTTTTGTGCAGAAACGAAACCACGACAAAATACGGCAGAAGAGTTTCATCCGACGGCCGACGATTTGCACACGTTTATTTTCTGCAGCTCGATCGGGTGATAAGAGCGAAGGAGGAACTGAGTGAACTTTGAACTCATTCTGATGTTGACTTATCCATTCTTCAGATAACACATGGTTGACATATTAGCTGCTGACTCGTCCCTCGCTCTCCTCCGCGCCGTGCAGCACCTGAACATTAGCAGACGGCACAGCTGTTTGACAGAACGCCACCCTGGAATGTGACAGTCCTGTTGGCTATTAGCTGTAAAACTGCACTTCCTCTCACAGAGCTGCTCGTCCACATGTTGTTGTGGTTTCTCTCATGTCAGCCCACGCAGGTGGACCAGCAAAAAAAAAAACAAAACGTAAAAAAAGAAAACTGCAGGTAAAAAAAAATAACAAAACGTAAAAAAACAAAAAGAAAACTGCAGGTAAAAAAAAAAAAAATCTAACTTCAGACACATCTGCTGTTCAACTGGTCAAACAAACAAACTGTTTTTCTACTGAATTATTTTTCACGTTCAACAGTACAAAATACAGTATAAACCGGTGCCATAAACATAAACACAACTGTGTAAAGTTGATATTTGATTCTGCCGTATCATCTATTGTTTTTATTTTCCTCCTTCAACTTTTCTATTTAGGTTCTATTCCATTCGGTTCTATGTCCTCTGAGGACCGTGGGTCTGACCCACGTTAGGGTCTTGAAAACCCTCTCAGCCATCAGTGGCAACAAGTGGCAGCAACATTGTCAGTCAACTTTCTGACAGCGATAATGACGTCATTAACCAAACCTTTAACTCTGCACCTGAGAACCAGCAGTTTAGCATCAATGAAACGATTTGTTTTGTTGTTTTTTTCATGGTTAAAATGATAAAACAATGCTTTTTATGACCCAGAATTTGATAAAGTATTGAATGTGATGCTGTAAGTTTGTAAAGCCCGGCTCGTCTTTACTCCGGGAGCCACAGATTGAGCAGCCTACCTAAATTGACGAAGCTCATCACCATGTCTGCATCGTTCAAGAAGTTGTTGTCCTGCAGGCTGGCGATGGGGGGGCCCTGGGTGGTGAAGACGGGCTTGTAAGGATAGGAGTATCTGTCCTCGCCACCCTCCGTGGACATGGCGTTGTACAAGTCCAACATGAACATCGGGGCTGCGTTGTGTTTTCCGTAGAGGTGGGGTCGCGGCCGGTGCGGGAGCCCGAGGATCGACAGGATCTCCCGCTGCATTTCCCTGCGCTCCTGGCTCTTCAGGCGACGGTGGATGAAGCTGGAGTGGAACTCGTTGTCCAGGGTGAAGTTCGTGAAGGCGAAGTCCGCCAGGACGCAGTAGCTCCACGCCAGGAGCAGCACCGGAGCCCGTCTGTCCAAAACCAGTGCCATCGTACTGGTGCGTAATTGCGCCCGACAGTGAAACTCCAGTTGAAGTGGGTTCTGAACTGTAGTCCCCGGACAGTGTGCGTTAGAGTCCGAACTCAGTCAGTGATCCTCATGTTGAGGGAACTCTCCCACATGGACCGATGTTTTCACTGCCGATCTCGTTATCGGAGCTTCTCCGGGACAAACGCTGCTGACGCGGAACTCGCTGTTCATCCAGCTCGCGTGTGTACGTGCGTGTGAGTGTGTGTGAGTGTGTGTGTGCACCCTTCAACTCCACAGTGAAGGCTGAGAGGAGAAGCGCTTCACGGAGTGAGGAGGCGCTGTGTGCTGGGAGGAGCAGGAGAGAGAGAGAGAGGGAGAGAGAGAGAGAGAGAGGAGCCACCAACTTGGCCTTCTCTTATCTGTGGAGGAATGACTGGAGGTACCATGTGTAAATACGAACTGGTACTGATTTTTAAAAACTCACTTTATGATTTCCTCACCGCTCAAACTCAAATATTTCCTGGATCACTGCCCTACTTGTCGGATGACGTCAGATGTTTAGTGTTATTACTGCTAGAAATGACACTCGGTATCCAAGGATACGGAATCAAAAGTTCGTCACGTGACCAGTCGTACGGGGAGTCGCTCCATTTAACAAGAATATGAAGGCGTCTGAGAAAAAAATATATATATATATCAATGAAAAAAAAAGACACTTTGAAGATCAACAAGTGTTTTAATATATATATATGTCAATGAAAGAAAGAGACACTTTGAAGATCAACAAGTGTTTTCCTTTTTTTAAAAAAACTCAAACCTTTGATAAAGCTAATGCTCTGGTACAACTGCCAGGCCGTACAGGCCTAGACCGCTGTTACTGTATACTTACTGATAATGTTATTAATTATTTTCTATATTGATCATCGATAAACACACACATTATTCTCCACTTTTTTCATTTTTCGGTTCTTTTATCTTTTACTTCTTCATCCTTGTTTTTTAGGGTCATTGCGGACCGGAGCCAATCCCAGGAGCCGTCTTAGAAACAACCTGTCGTATTCCGGCTGCAGGTTTTTCGTCTGGACCAGACGTACGGACCTGGGTTTCACAGTTTGAAGCTGCAGATTACTACTTGAAGTGGAGAAGAATGGCATCCTGTCAGGAATGTGAAGGCCACCACAGAAGGAGGGGTGAGTGAAGGATTCCTTTGTTACACCATTAGATGTCAGTGTTTCTCAAACCCTGGTCCTTTATTTTTATTTGATTTTCTCCTTTTGAGAAGTGTTGTAACAGACACAGGGTACGATGATATATTGAGGTACTCCCCCCCCAATATTGGACTGGGAATTGGTGAGAAAAAAATCAATAACTGATCAATGACTGAGGAGATTGATACGGGATCAGGAAACAAAATATCAGGATAAGAACTCTGTACCTGATGCATCATTGGACCAGAGCTGGTCAGGTGACTTGACTTCCGGGGTTGGGGGATTGCTAACCACGGCTAGATGAAAAGACGCAGCGTGTCTTTGGGATGTTCTGCACTCGATTCGTCTTCCTGCTCGTTAACATGGTTCTTTGTGTTCCACTTCTCTTTATTTTTTAAACGACAGCCCGTCAGCTAACACGCCCACTGTCGGTGCTCATGTCTGTAGATCTAATCCGGTGTTTGTTTTCAAGGACCTTTAGTAGCAGCCTGCTCCGAGTAAACACTTGTATCCGGAACCTCAGACGGATTCAGTGAACGGCCGCAGGTGTTTGCGTTACAGCGGTTTAGAACCTGCAGCTCCAGGAGCATCTGGCTTCAGTTGTTACCATACAGCTCTCTCTCCCTCTTGTTGACACCCCCCCCCCCCCGCCCATTCTCCTGCTCTTTCATCCTCAAGTCGAGTCAAGTCATGTTTATCTGAATAGTTCACAAATCACATGACATCACAGCAGACGTCACTGTTTTCAGATTAGCTTAGAATTCAGACTGAGGAAATGATAGCAGGGAAAAAATGTATGTTATATTGAGTTTGTTAATATATAAAGTGAAGCAGAGTCACATTTACAAACATGAGTGAAAACCAAATCAAATCAATAGCATAGATGAGTTAGCACACCTGTGCTATTGATTTAATTTGGTGGACTCCTGGTCCGTCCGGACCCTGGTCCGTCCAGACCCTGGTCCATCCAGACCCTGGTCCGTCCAGCCCCTGGTCCGTCCAGACCCTGGTCCATCCAGACCCTGGTCCGTCCAGCCCCTGGTCCGTCCAGACCCTGGTCCATCCAGACCCTGGTCCGTCCAGACCCCCAGTCCTCACCTGTCTTCATGTCCAGAGCTGGGCCGACAGAGTGGATCAAGACGACAGGGACAGATCCTGGTTTGTTTTCGTCTTCTTTGTGACAGTCACAGTAAACAGAGGGCAGCAGCTGAGGCCCGGCCGGGTGAGATAGAGAGAGAGAGGAAGGGTGGGAGGAAGAGAGAGAGAGAGAGAGGCCTTTGACAAGGAGGAGGAGGAAGAAAATCAGAACAAACACTCTTTGAACCTTTGCTCAAAGGCACTCACAGAGAAAACAAACTGACAGAGAAGAGCTGCTACAATTCCTCTAAGTAATTTTACACTAAACTCTGTGTTCTGTGTGTACACACACACACACACTAATATTTACACAGCCAGTCACACACACACACACACCCTCCAGGACCTGTATCACCTCATCCATTACTGTGGAGCAGAATATTGAACCGTTGAAGTTCATTTTCTGATGAACTCCTTCTACCAGTCTGTGTAAATAATGCAGGGCTGCCACAGGTGGCGATGTTGACCCTGAGCTCCAGAGAAGACCACACAGCAGTGAGCTCCAAACCCCTGGAGGGTCCTTCACCACCAGACCACGTCAGAGAGTAAAGGTCTGTCTGTCTGTTTCATCTCAGTCATGTTTCAATATTAAAAACATGGCTGATAAACCAGTATAATGTAGATGATAGTGGGGTTTTACTACACTTAAGGGTGGTGGTGGAGGGGGGTCAGAGAGGGGGGGTTATGGCTCACCCACAGCACAAACTGGCATCCCGTTGAAACAGTGTTACCAGGTGGAGCAGAGCTTTGTTCAAATGTTCCCGTCTGTTGTCTCACACTCACAGGGGCCTCATGAACATATGAAATACAGCTGTGGGACCTGCAGGAGAAAGAGGGGGGCGGGGTGGGGGGGGAGATGGGGGGGGGGAGGGGGGTAAATGAAACAGCTTTGAAACAGTTCACTTTGTACATCCCATCTATCTGTGATTGAAGGTCTGTCTGTGGTGAGAGTTTATTGACTCCAAGTCCCGTCAATCTCTTTGAAATCTTTAGCTTCTTATTTATTAAACACACATCACGTACAGTTTCATCAACTCAGGAGGAGTCTGTGTCTCTGCTCAACCTCCAGTAAAGCCCTGCTTCCTGCATTTTAGACACATTTTTCCCGATCATTCCATCCATCGACGTCCCGATGAAGCTGAGGTCTAAAACAGGTCACTGCTGAAGGACCAAAAAAACAGATCGTCCTGAAGGAACCAGACGAAAGTAAAGTGAACTTGTATTGATCGTCCTCTGCTGCGGTCTCTGCTCAGTGTCTGTTTCCACTGGTGTCTGGTTTGTCTGTGACCGTGGGTCCAACCCGTCAGTTACAGCTGGTGCCAGAGTTTGTGCCTCAGTTTTAGTCTTAGTTAAGCCTCCCATAATGTGCAGCTTAGCGAGGCTTATCTATCTGAGGATATTATCACTCTGTCATCATCGCTGCACTGACACTGGGCCGGTCTCCACACACACACACACACACACACGCTTATCAGCATCCATTACTGAGGTGTGAGGACCTGATAAGGTCCACGCAGCTCCAGCCAAAGGTCCCATTTAGATTCCTGTCGTTGCAGCTCAGGGCCTGGGCCCTTTGACTCCTGCTCTCATCACCCTGTGAAGCAGCATTGGCCTGTCAATCAGAGAGGAGCCCGCTGGATGAGTCTGCTCAGGCTCACGCTGGTCTGAGGGGCCATTAGAGAGGAGGCAGTGGAGCCAGAGGAGCTCATGCCAAAAGCTGATGAGAAACAGAGGAGCTGGAGAGCCCAAGGTAGAAAGGGGGAGGAAGGGAGGGAGGGAGGGGGGTGAGGGCGCGGGGACAGGAGGTGGATGTGCTAAAGTGTGTGGATTGTGAAGGAAAAGCAGCTCTGTTTTCTATTTGTGAGGATTAGACTGATAGATCTGTATTTAGGTTCTCTGGGCCTCGAGCTGCAGCTAATCTCCCTCACCTGCACTGACTGCACACCCACCCCCCAATCTTCTTTCCTGTGACCCTGCAGCCCTCAGTCCCCCAACCCCCCCCGGCTGAGCACAAACACTCATCCTGAGACAAGCGCATGACTCGTTGCACTCTGTCTCCTCGGGTTAGAGCCTGACACTCAACTCAGATCTCTCCTGGGCCAAAGGAACAGCGGGGGTCTGAAAATAAGGTCCTTGAAGACCTGTGGTTATTTTTTCCTTTGGGTGAGGGGTCGTTGCTCATTACTTAGAGATGGCAATTACTCGGAAATTAAAGGCTAATACAACGGAAGCAACTTGCCAAAACCATTGAAGTGAAGGAACACAGTAACGATATTCAGGGTCATGACTGCGTTTGGACGTCTTCTCTATAGATCCTGACTTTCTCTCACACACACACACACAGGCCATCAAACCGTGAAACAAAACGGCAGTGTCTCTGCAAACACACAGCTTGCCTGCTAGCAATTCTGGTAGGTGGGGTTTCATGGATGACCTAATGGTTACAGAATCCTCACAGGTCTGTGTTTCAACAACAGAAGAACCCACAAACAGGTTCTGAATGTTTTTGGTCCAGCAATAAAACAGTTCTAATTGGTCAAGTACTTCCTGTTACAGTAAACTCAACTGCTAAGGACTTTTTTTTCTGCAAAAAAAAAGCATAACTTATAAACAAAATACAAAGAACAGCATAAGTCATCAGAGTTTGATTAACCAATCGTGTGTCATTTTACTCTGCAACCTGTGTTACTCTGGTAACCTTTTTTTTTCTCTCTCCCTAACAGGTTGTCCACCCTATGTCCAACAGGGGAAATGCTGCTGTGTCTGTGACAAAAACACCAGAAGATTCCACTAAGGCAGATATTGAACTTCGTAGAAATTTAGTCAGGACGAGCCCCAAAAAATTATATTCTCTATAAATAGTTTAGTTTCATAAAACAAAATAAGGTTAAAGTTTTGTAATATTCAAAATATTACAATGAGAACGTTATAATAATTCACAGTGGCAGTGTAAATTAATTCTGTTCACTGTCATGTCTAGACGTCTGGAAAACCTTAGTCGAAGCCAAATATCAAATGAAAACAAATGTTTGAGGCCTTTTTTAGGAAAAAAGAAAAAAAACCTAATGCATAACACAGACGATTGACTGAACAAAGGGCTGATGGGTATTTAAAATGTGAAAAACTTCCACCTCAGAAATACGGAATAGGCCAAAAGGCTAAGTCGGCCTTTCTGCTGCGGACGTTATTCTGATTGATCACCAAGGCCCGTGTCGGAGTGGTGATTAACACTGATGCTTCACAGCGTGAAGTTCACAGGTTAGCATCCAGACTCAGACAGATGGTCAGTTTGGACTTTTGTGGAGTAAAGTTTCCATGTTCTCATTATATGTGTTATGTTCTTGTACTTCAGTATCTTTTTCTTTTCTTTTCCGCAGCTCAAAAAGAGAAATTACCTTTTTTTTTCCGCAGCTCAAAAAGAGAAATTACGACTGTGTTAGAGTGGACAGGTCAAATTGGCCATAGTTAGTAATGGTTGTTTGTCTCTGTATGTGGTCCTTTAATCTACCGGTGCAGTTTCTACGTCTGCTGTGATTGGCTCCAGCTCCCAAAGTTAAAAAGTTAAAATCAAAATAGGATGAATTAAATATTAATTAAAATGAAAATATCCTGAATGTAATAAAAAAGTTTCTGTGAAACATGACCAAGTTAAAGGTTTAATGAAATAACCCGTATTAGGGATATGAACTCTTAAGATATTTTGCCATAAGAACTCATGATAAACATATAGCTACATAGAGTTACATATTGCACATGTTTTACCATACGTTTTTGTATTAAATTAACGTAAACAATATGTCCGAGTTACATATTGCATATGTTTTACCATACGTTTTTGTATTAAAACGACACCAGGGATATAAAGCATTGAAATCCAAAACTTTTTTTAATGATTGTTTCTCTAAGATAAACACGTGAACTGTACTTTTTTGTGTAATCCACTTATGTAATTAAAAATAAAGAAAAAGATAATAATTTTATTTCACAGTTTAGTAAGAAAAGAAAAAATATCGTCAGTGCTTCACTTCAGCCAATTAATTTGCCGGATCGGGATCATGTGACCATCTAAATCTTTCGGCGGGAAGGTGAGTTCCACTGCATCCAGAGAAGCGGCCATGTTTTCTGAACTTGACAAACTACGCACTCGGTTGATAAACGGAATTCAAAACACTCCGCAGGTGGAGGAGGGAATGAGCAGGTATATTTAAGTTAATACGTTACAACTGTTACTGTAAGGTGAAGCTACAGCTCTAACAGGTGGTGGTGGACTCTGGTAATGTTATTAGCTCGGTTTGCTGCCCGTTGGACTCTGGCAATGTTATTAGCTCGGTTTGCTGCCCGTCGCTTATTAAAATAGCCATAAGCACTTGAGACGATTGCGTCAGTGATGGCCGCTACAAAAAGCAGTTTAAAAATAGGAAAAAGTATTTGGTATTGTTCGAATGAATGAACCAATACAACCGAACCATCGGAATCTGTCGTGTTTACATTCAATCGACCTTTTCCGGTTAATTCGCTAACTAGCCTTGTAAACGTAGCAGCACAAGGCCGTTAGTCTGCGATTTTCTTTTTACTTTAAAGGTATGGAGACCTCGGGTTCGTGAGTTCTGATTCAATTTTAACATTTTTATTATGGTCATGGTTGGTATTACTGTTATCACTGAGCGAGAAAGGTATCCGTGCTACCAGATGTCTATTGTACGGCTACTCATTGGAAATTACTTTTGTTTGTAGCTATTATACTAGTTTTATTTGAAAATGTTAGGAAGAAATAGATTAGAATTGCTTTTGTTAGCAAAACCTAAAAATATAATAAAATATACTGTAAAAATACTACAATAAAAGGCCAAAATAGCAGAATATAGTGTAATGAAACACTAAGAAATTGAACAAAACATTATCATTTGAATTATTTAGATGTTAACAGAAGTCATTTGCAACCAGAACTGTCATAAGTGTCAATAACACATGGTGTCATCGCAAAGAATCACTCAGACTTTGTACTTTCATTGTTTCCTTCCGAGTGGTCGTCATAAAACTGACATTGAGTTGTATTGAAGACCTAGAACATTGGTACAGACCATAATGATACACAGGTCATAGTTTATGGCTACTTCTTGTCCACATTTTTGGCTTTATTCATATTAGAGAATTACAAGATTTTGTTGGATCAAGACTTCTCATGATCTAGGCCTAACCTGATGACTTTTTTTTTACCTTCATCCTATTACATCGGCTCTACAATAATCTGAGTTACCTTCATCCTGTTACATCGGCTCTACAATAATCTGAGTTGTTGAGATGAATGAGTGATCTTTCTGTAAAAATCCATTTCTGTAATTCCAATAAATAGTATAACCTCAGTGTGTTCTATTTCCAGCAAGGAAGTCTTGACAGCTATTGAAAATGTAATCCTGGGAATAGTGACCAGTCTGTCCAGAGACGAGGCCCCGGTCCTGTCAGTGCCCAACAGAGCCAGATGGGACAATGTCAGGTAACTGGTTTTAAATATCCCACTCTATTCGATGTTGTATATTGATTCTGTGGTGTCTAAAGATCAACACAAACATTGATGTTTAAAGAAAAAGCAAATAAAACAAACACCTCCATACACAGGGTGTATTGTGGGAGGTCAGGCCACACAGGATGATACCAGTGCTGTTGAATTTACATGTACACACTGAAGACAGTCTGAATTTGTCTGAGGGGTGTTTTTGTTTTTATTCTTATTTAAGCTTTGGCAACGTAAAAAAAAAAAAAGCCTGGAAGCCTTGAAGTTGAAATAACTTCCTGGACTTAAAAGATGACAAACTGATAAAGGATTCAAAGGGATTTGTCCACACACACTTATTTCTGAGGGTCTTTATGTGAAGAGGTTGCTAAGACCTCGTGCTCTCGGCAAAGCAAACTGTCTAGTCTTCTTTGGATCAAATCTGCAGCTGCCTGGAGCACATTCTAGATTAACCCTTTCATATGTCCCACAAACCCACAGAAGGTTTCTGAGGAGGTAGGAAAGGAAAGTAGGAGGAAGGTGCTTTTCACATAGGAAGCCCTGAGGGAAGGGGGAATTTTGCATGGCTTACAGGCTGAATATGTTTCCTTTTAACGCTGTGGAAGACATGAAACACACACAGTCTGTTCTGATATTTACATTACTTTTGTTTTTTTACTTCATTCTTTACCCACTAAAACTGCAGTGTTTGTTTTTCTGTCGTTACTTTTCACTGAAGGTTCGACCGTTCCGTTGGGTTTCAGATGAGTTCAGAAAGTGCCGTTGTTTCCGTCAGGAGCAACTGTGTTTCGTCTGTCACTAAATTTGGTGAGGAGATACTTCCGTTTCTTTAGTTCACGTTCATCTGTTAGCTGAAACCTGTGCAGCTGTACCATTCTTTTTACACCATGTGGCTTGTGTTTTGTATTTATTGTGAACATGTGCATCATCTAAAAGTCAATTTCAGTTTTAGGTGGCAAATTGGCAGTGACACAGGATATTGAAAGAGGCCTCGTGGCATCAGTTTTCCACATGTATGGACTAATTAAAAACAGAATGTGGTTTTTTTTTCCCAACTCCAGACCATAACAGTTGTGATATAAGGCAGGGATACCCAACCCCTGGTCCGCGGACTGTTTCGTAGATAATATTTGGTACTGGGGCACAGTAGGACTGTTTCGTAGATAATATATAGATAATATTTGGTACTGGGGCACAGTAGGGCACAATGGAAAAAGTATACTTTATTTTTACTGCGTTACTTCCTTCAAAGAGAATCGACTCTATTTACTTTCTTCATTTAAAGATAATCTGGCAATATTTAAAAATGTATATGTGATGTCATTAAGACTGCAATACTAACAGATGAATAAAAACACATTATTTTGAAAACTCCCTACTCTTGGTGTGAAGTATAATGTCATTGTTAAAAATTGTCGTTTGTCTGTAGCACAAATTCTCAAGATTCTCTCAGTGGTCTACAGACTGGTGCAGAGCAACAAATATGCCACAAAAAGGTAACCCCAATATCCCTCCACATCTTTGGGGGAACTTCAGTGAAGTCGTGGAATGTCAACTTATACTCTTTTACATTTTCCTTTCACAGAGACATCTACTACAGAAACATGCAGCTGTTTGGTTCACAGGCCACTGTTGATTCTATCGTTGATGACCTGTCCTGCCTGCTGAAAGCCCCTCGACGATCACTTCACGTGGTGAGTGTTATCGTCTGTGTAGGTCCCACCTTAATACGTTCAGTCTGTGTTTGTCTCTTATGAACAAAATTCCACATATTGCTACTGTATACAACATGTTGATGTGTGAGCCATTGTCTCTGTACCAGTTGGCCACGACCAAGGGATTAATTGCTGGTGATCTGCAGTACATGGAGGAGGACGGCACAAGGATCGACTGTCACTGCAGCTCTGCTGTGAGTTTGTTAAACAGTCGACAGTTACCGGCTGATTATCAATGATACTGTAACTGTAACATTATTAAGAATTACTTATTGACTTATTTAGTTGTTTACTTAGTATGTACCACATAATGCTTTTTGAGGTTCTCGGGGTCAACTGGAGGCAATCCAGTCATTCATTGTTGAAGGCGGGGTTACACCCTGGACACCTGTCCAACAGAGAGACGAGACAAACAACCGTTAACACTGACATTCATGAGTCGTTTGTCTTCACAAACCCTGCATTTTACACCAAGAACTTTGACATATTTTATCACTAAGGTTTTTTTTCCCACCACATTTGATATAATTGACTGCTGCAGGTCTCAGTAGAACATGTGGTTTTTTTCCCACCACATTTGATTTAACTGTTGCAGGTCTCAGTAGAACATGTGATAGAAATCAGCCAATCACAGCTTTACAGCACCATGTGTCCACAGCTCAGCAGGGCATCATCATCATCCAACACAGTAACACAGCAGAACCGCAGGGATCACATTGAACAGAAATGTAATCTGTGGTGAGAACTTGTTGACACACTGCTGTTCTGTTCTGTTCTAGGCTGTTCAGCTTTCATCAAATATCAGTGGGATCAGAAGTATCCTTGGTATAAAGATGGAAACGTTTTACTACTTGTACTTACTGCATCATGTCTGTGTGTGTTCTCAGTCAGTTAACGTTCTTAAGTTCTTTGAAATGACTTTGAAAAATGCAGTTCTGCCGTCAAAGGTTTTTCTTTAACACATTCAGACATTGTGTCTTCGGCGAAGTTTGTCCTGATAGTTGAGAAGGATGCCACGTTCCAGACTTTGCTTGATGAAGACTTCTGCTCCAAACTCCATCCCTGCATCATGATAACAGTGTGTGTTTCTTTGGACTCCACATTTATTGGCACGTTTAAACTTAATCATAATAATTACACTCACTCCGGCTTCTCGCGGTGTTTTGTGGTCCATTAGGGTAAAGGTGTACCAGATGTGAACAGCAGGTTGATGGTGAGGAAGCTGTGGGATGTGTTACACATCCCTGTCTTTGCTCTGGTGGACGCTGACCCTCATGGTAAACACACACACTTCACTTTCTTTTCATGTGTACACTCACACACACACACTCACACACTGTGTAGGGCTGCATGTCCCACTAAGGCAGCAGATGTTAGCACCTGCCATCCTGCCTGGTCTGCCTGTTATTTCCGTTGGCCTGATCTCGTGCAGGTGGACTGACTCTAGTTTCCATTGTTTCCATACCTCTTCACGTCACATGGCCAGACACACATGTAATGCTTTACTTTGTTCTAGGCTCCGTTACACATCCTGGTGGATAATTGCTCTGGCATGCTGGTTGTTGCTCTCTTTCTCCCTCCCTCCCTCTTTCTCTCACACTTTCTGCTCCCCCCCCTTCACCCTCCCCCCCGTCTCCCTCGTACTTTCCCAGGCATTGAGATTATGTGCATTTACAAATATGGATCACTGGTGAGTTTTGTTCTGTTAGTCCTGTAGTTTACATTATCCAACGTGACCTGTTGAACTTCTCTGTGAGCAACATGTCATTAAGTCACTCTTTAGGCCTCTTTAAAAAGGATGTAACACACACCTCAGTATTTATCACTGCAGTATCTTTGACCTGTGACGTATCATCACATCCTCGCTAATCGTGGTGTGAAACCTTTTAAAATACAATTGTGTCTGCTGACATGTTGTTTTTTTTTTACAATAAACTGTACACACAGGGCTGTTTCTTCTCTGTGTATGTGAGCAGCTGTATTTGTGTTTGTGTGTGCACGGGTATTTCCACAGTCCATGTCGTTTGAGGCCCACAGTCTGACCATCCCCAGCCTTATGTGGCTAGGCCTTCTCCCCTCTGACATCCAGAGGTTTGGACTCAACATTTACTACTTCCTACTTCCTCCTCCTGCCTCTAATTGGGATTATATTCTGGGTACATTTAAATGGTTTGTTTTGGTTTCTGTTGCTGTCGCCTTACTTTTCCCCCCTTGAAGTCGCATCGTCTCGGCGGATATTGAGTTTTAAATACATGTCTCTTTTCAACAAATTAGGGCTGAAAGGGCTTCTTGACATACATTTAATTGTAGTCCATACTGTTCTTTTTATGTTTCCCACTAAATATATATAATGACTCCTGTAAAGAGTCTATTGAAAATAAGGGGGGGGAAAGAACCTAGTGGAACAACATTGAGTCAACAGAAGAGCTTTCTGCCCACAGTCACCTTCAGGAAATTAACTCTGTCATGTGTAGTAAAATCAACATTTGATATTTTAGGTTGCGGGTTCACCAGGATGCCTTGGTTCCTCTCACCCACAGAGATGAAATCAAACTCAACAGCCTCCTCAAAAGGCCCTTCTTAACCAGCCATCCCAACTGGAAGAAAGAGGTGAGGAAAGGGAGAGGCTAAATAGAAACATATAGTGTGTGAATACAATATATTTTTATCCATATATGTGTGTCTACACCCCCATTTTTGTGGGGGGGGTTCTTTTTCTTAAAGAAATAAACGACCACCATGGTTGAAAACATGGGGGGATTTTCTTTTTCTTAAAAAAAATAAACGACCACCATGGTTGAAAACATGTTGAAAATGAGCTTCTGGAAAAGATGAATAAACCCAATATATTTATAACAGTTGAGTGACACTGTGTAGATGGCTATAAAAATGTATGGATTTTCCCAATACATTATAATATGAACCTTTACTGTCGTACCTATAATTATGGTAAAAGGGCAACTTGGCCAGTGTTTGCCCTTTTCATGATGCTGCTTTTCATGATGTTGCTGGGGGGAAAAATCACAAAAGTGAAAGTGCATCACACTGTTGTGGACCAGATGGAAATGGGTTTGTTCAATCTGGTCTCATGTTCACTTTTATGATACTTGGAGCCCAGAACTGAGTGAGAGGTTTTTTTTCTACTAGTGACTTAAAAAGTTTGAGTTTTAACCTGTGATGATGTGATGGTGGAAGGTTGATCACTCATCTCCAAAAAAATCATATCTCTACAAAAAAAACATTTAGTTTTACTGCCCTCAATAATCACTTCACCAAAGGAGCGGTGCTTTGGCAAACTAAGGTAGAGTTCCCTCTGCCTTGGAAACCTTGGAAAATTAATGTGCAACAGTTCAGTCCTGGAAAATGTTTGGAGACAGAAACAAAGTTAGGTGTCCTGGAAAATATTTCCTCCCTGCTTCTTCTTTCTGCATCTTGAGTGAAGGCAAACGACTTAGAACGTATAGATGTGACCATGTGACCCTAACGGCCAATCAGAATTGTGTGCCACCTAACACAGCTTAGTCTCCCAACTTTTCCTGAGTGACATAACGTATTAGGAAATATCTGACAACCATTTTGTTCAATTGGAATTTGCTGATGATATGAAGTTGTTTACAGTTGTTCTTTGTTTTTGCTGTAGATGGCGCTAATGCAGCAGACTAAGGTCAAGGCTGAAATACAGGCCCTGGCAACCATTGCTCCTGATTTCCTCACCAGCGTTTACCTGCCGAACAAGCTGCTCTACGGAGGCTGGGTATGAGAACTATCCTGCCCCCTAGTGGGAGAAAATGTGAAGTTATACAGCAAGTGGTAGGAAAAGCTCATCAGCATTTCAGAAAAAAAAGTATTTAATTTCTCTTTCACACGTTTATATTTTTTATTGTTATTTGAAAGGGGTATTTTTTTATTTGGTGTTTCAAGAATGTTTAACATATTAAAACCGTTAGTGTTCCCACTGGCAAGATTTTTTGTTGTTTTTTTTTTTCTCTTTGATTTTGGACCTGTAGTCTGAGAGTCTGTAAACACATGATTTGAATCAGTGCAAGTCCCACAATTGTTTCATTGTGGTTGGACCTGAGCTCTAATCCCTGACCTCCACTCGCAGCGTGCAGTGACGCAGAGATGAGCAGATGAGGATTTGTTTGTTAGGTTTTTCTAAACATTATTTCACCAGGCAGGACAGAATACAAAACCTATTCTTATTGGTTACTGTGGTCTGCCACGAGGCAGAGCTACATGGGGGGGCAGGGGGGCATGTGGGGCTTTTAAACTAAACAGAATGTTCAGAACAACCAACTACTGCACTGCTCTGGAGCTGTGATGAAAAGAAAATGGAGGCTGTGGCCAATTACCTTAGTTCACTTCTTCAGCAGATAACCACAGTATTTACTGTACTCCGTAGAGCAGTAAAGGTATACAGTAGTAGTGTCTCCAGGCATTATCACCATGGCAACTGCTCCTGCATTTTGACAGTGGCTCTTACCTGCCCACTTGAGTGAACAGGTAAGAACCTGGAGGTGAGGGAGAAAAGAGAGAAAAATTTAAAACTGTTTTCAATTTGACATGCATACCAACATTAATGTTATCACAGTCAAATCTGGGGAGGGTGGAGGCGGGGGGGGCGGTATTTGACATTTTTTCCAAAGCTCCGTGGGAGGAGTCGACGGTGTGACTGATGGAACCATTATCCAGGTGAGTTCACACAAGATCTTATGAACTGTTGTACTGTAAGTTTTTGTGAGTAGAGTAGAAGTACTGATTACTATTTGACACTAGAGTTACACAACTTTTTACTTGGCTTCAGTATTGAACCTCCAGATTAAACCAAAGAGCTGAGTCAACTTCAAACACACAGCCCATGTCTGAAAAATAAAAACCAGAAACCTGGATCTGTACAAAAACCAGTTCAACTGCCTGATGGTTGTTAGTTTTAGTCTCAGAGTCAGGTTGTGGTCTCCAACACAGACTTTACACAGTGATGTCCAGTGGCAGAGCCTCCTCCCCTCCTCTGAGGTAAGAGACACACAGACCTCCTCTTATCTGTGGACCTGTCAAGGACAGCTGACTGCAGCAGTCTGGGCTTTAACAGCGTCCACTCTGGTCTCACTCGTCACAGGTTGGTGTGGAACTAGTCATGTTTCGCAAGACGGTTCTGATTTATTACTGCAAGGTGGACCGGGACATGTTCAGGTAAACACTGAGAGATGGTTTGGCTGCTGTTTATGTTGGATTTTATACTGACACAGTTTAGAAAGATTTTTTTTTTTACTTTTTTCTTTTATAGATTTAATTTCTATTTGTATGTTAAATGATTTATATTCACATTTAAACCTTTACATGATGATGATGATGATGAAATAATTCTCTTCCTCTTAGGTCAATAATTCTCTTTCTCTTAGGTCAAGAATACCCCACACCACTGCAGTGATTCGTCGCTGCCCTTTTGTTACCCTGGCACCCAGCATTTACTCCCACCTGGTGGAGAAGTCTTCTCTGGGGCACTTGGCCCGACGGTGTCCAGTGTTGACAGACTTGGCCTGGAAACATCTGACCAGAACCCTGTCTTCAACTTCAGTGTCCAAGAATATGTCAGATAATAATCAGGGTGAGTTTCAAGACAACAACAAAAAAAATTAACTTGGAATTAATTTAACAGACACCCATCACAGGGTGTAGAGGCAATTTTATCTGAAATACATATATAGACAGAGTAAACTGTCGTGTGTTATAGAATTAGATTAGCTTACACTGGAAAAAAATAAATGTATGTTTTTTTCCCCACTTATGTAGATCAGGGACACACAGCGCCACCTGCTGACCAGACTGCAGGCTCCAAATGTCCTTTCCTGGCTGCTGAGATGATGCAGAATAACAGCTTGTTTGTTAAAGAGGCCAGCATAGAACTGAGGCAGGAAGTGAAGGAGATTCAGTCTTTGTTTTCAGGTGAGTGATCACATGACCACACCTGGAAGTTTATATAGTTTATTTTAAATATTAAAAAGATATTTGAAAAATCTTTACAATCCTAAATATAATTGACTCTAATAACTAATTTTTCCTCCTTTAAAGGAAAAACGAGCCTGGGTTTGTCAGTCCTCGATGTTATTGAGTCAAACCATTCAGAGGAACAACAAAAATCCTCAGAAGTGTCTCAGCTGTTGAAGGATAATCTGCCTGAAGGTAAGAATTCTAGGGTAATGATTTATAACTCACAACATCTTCAAACTTCAACTGCCACCATCTCCTCCTCTGACAGGTGCCTTCAGTTATGACCAGTTCTTTCAAAACAAGATTGACAAGAAGAAGACCGATCACAGCTACAGAGTTTTTAAGACGGTGAACAGAAGTGCCTCCTCGCCTCCCATGGCCGAGGACTACACTGAGGCTCTTCATGCAGTGAAAGACGTGTCAGTCTGGTGCAGCAACGACTACCTTGGCATGAGCTGTCACCCAAGAGTCACCCAGGCTGTGATGTGAGTTAACAGGCACCCACCCTCACCCACCAGTTGTTTCTGTCGAACTAATTTGATTTAGTGATGTCCGATAGTATCGTCCCGATGTTAGCATAATTCTGTCATATCAGCAAAATGTTTAGTGGAAAAACGGCTGTGTTTGAAAATGAAAGCCACTAGATGGCAGCATTACAAATCATTTTATTCATCTATTTTAATGATCAAGGGATTGTATGTAGAATTCTGGTGCCAGCAGCTCATACCTTAGTGAGCAGGCAGCACTTCACTTCCTTAACCACTAGGACACCACTGCTCTATTATATCGGTATCGGTTGATATTGCAATCGGAAATTAAGTGTTTAGACAATATCAGATATCTGCAAAAAGTTAATATCGGAGATCCCTAATTCTAATGTTTTCTTTTCAGTGAGACTGTTCAGAAGCACGGCGTCGGTGCAGGAGGAACACGAAACATTTCAGGGACCAGTAAATTCCATGTGGAACTGGAGCAGGAGCTCGCTGATCTGCACCGCAAGGAAGCTGCGCTGCTGTTCACTTCCTGTTTCGTAGCCAATGACTCCACCTTGTTCACCTTAGCCAAAATGCTCCCTGGTAAATGTTTGCTTTAAAAAAAAAATTCTGTGTGAATCTGATTTCCAGAACTTTCTGACAGACATGCTCTCGTTGTTATTTATTTGTGGAGGCTGTGAAATCTACTCTGACGCTGGCAACCACGCCTCGATGATCCAGGGCATACGGAACAGTGGAGTTAAGAAGTTCGTCTTCCGTCACAATGACGTCAGCCATTTACAAGAGCTGCTTGAGAAGTCTGACCCATCGACCCCAAAGATTGTTGCCTTTGAGACTGTGCACTCCATGGATGGTGAGGACACACTGCTGCCAGGAGCCAACGTTTGAATGGTTTTAAAAGGAAAATAATTCTCCATGGGAGACTTGACGTTAACCTTCCTCTGGCAAATCCTTAATCTGATTTTTTTTATTCTTATTTGAAATTCATCACATGGACAGGATTGTATACCCTAGCGGGCCGGTTTTTGTTTGTTTGGCATCACTGGTCTAATATACAGTAACTAGAGTGTTTGAACTATGTTTTGTTGCTGCTTCTTGATGACAAGAAAAACCACCGTCTCACATAAAACTGCTGACTTTTGGTTGGGGAAAAAAATGGGCAGAGGTTTTTTTTTATTATATAAAAAAAACTAGAAGTAGACTAAACTATTTGTCTTACACAGGAGCGGTGTGCCCCCTGGAGGACATGTGTGACATTGCCCATAAGTTTGGGGCTCTGACTTTCGTAGATGAAGTGCATGCTGTGGGTTTATATGGTCCCAGAGGTGGAGGAATTGGAGACAAGGACAAAGTCATGCACAAGATGGACATCGTCTCAGGAACTCTGGGTAAATGTGAACACCACGTCAGTGAGATGAAATATTTCACAAACATCTCCATCCGTTTTATAAATGCTGTATTCTCAGGCAAAGCCTTCGGCTGTGTGGGCGGTTACATCGCCAGCACCAGCCCCCTGGTGGACACAGTTCGCTCCTACGCCGCCGGTTTCATCTTCACCACGTCCCTGCCTCCCATGCTGCTGGCCGGGGCCAAAGAATCTGTCAGGATCCTGAAAAGTGAGGAAGGTCGGGAGCTGAGGAGGAAACACCAGAGGAGCGTCAAACTGCTCCGACAGATGCTAATGGACTCGGGACTTCCTGTTGTGCACTGTCCAAGTCACATCATCCCTGTCCTGGTAAGAGGACAATCATTTAGTTAAGTAAAGACCTCAGCGTTAATGAGTTAACGAACATATCTAACTGTGATGGAGTTTAGAGAATATATATATTTTTATATATATATATATATATAAACTGCACTGATTTTTTTTTAATTAAAATAGTTTGAGTATTTCAGTACTGATGTAATACACACCTATGGTGTCAGAAATTCCCCTTATATTTGTTTAAAGTGTTTCTAATCAGGAAAGATGATGAGAATTTGTTTTTGCCTAGTGCTGAAATAATTACAAACAGATCCACCAATTATAATTCTACTCATTGCGCAATAATTGGTACCAGCCCTAAAACAGATTTTTTCAATTGTTGACACTCGGCAGGTTGCTGATGCAGAGAAGAACACTCAGGTCTGTGACATCATGATGTCCCGCCACAACATCTACGTCCAGGCCATCAACCACCCAACCGTGGCTAAAGGGGAGGAGCTGCTGCGCATCGCTCCGACCCCCCACCACACCCCACAGATGATGAACCACTTTGTCGGTTTGTTTACCTCATAAATCAAATATGTGATCTGTAAATGAAACAAAAATTGATAATCTACACATTCAATACAATTTGATTTAGTCTCATTTAACATCATGTGTCAAGTTTAATGTAATTATTTATTTGTTTTTGTGCTGCAGACCAGCTGGTGAAGACGTGGACCGAGGTGGGTTTGGTTCTAAGGCGACACTCGTCGGTGGAGTGTAACTTCTGTCGGCAGCCTCTTCACTTCCAGGTCATGAGTGAGAGGGAGAAGTCGTACTTCACCGGCCTGAGTCACATGATATCAGCCGTGGCTTGATATCAGCCAAAAATGTCAACCCTAGTTTGGTTAATTCATAGGTAAGATATTTATTCATATTTATTTCATTGACATTAAAAACTGGCACTGCCTGCGACTGTCTCTTCATTTACTCCTAATGACCACATGGTGGTGCTATTAAAATTACTAAAGCTCAGGGGATCAGCCCTTCACAGTAATGACACCCAAAATATGGAATATTTGGACTTTTGGAAAATTAATTCACTACAGAACAGTCCAGGGAGTAACTACGCCCTCACCCGATCACTGCTGGGATTAACTCCAGCTCCTTCCACCATGAAAAGGATTAAGTGGTTGAAGATGAATGAATGAAAGTAATTTGAATAATAAAAAAAAATCCTTCAGACAAGAAATACTTGACATACAGAGTTACATAAAAAAAAAAATCCTTCAAGAAATACTTGACATACAGAGTTACACCACACGGTGGCACAGTGGCTCTCCCTGTGTGCGAACCAAAGGCAGTGACGTCAGCCCCCTCGCAGCCGCACAGATGAGTCATAACTGCTGAAGCAAATTTCATGATGAGCCACTAGATGGTATCATTTCAGGATATTGTGGTTCTCATTCACAGATAACACTGTGGTGGCAATAAAACACGAACACGTACATGTGGCTCACAGCAAAAAAACTGAGTGTCTTCAGTGAACTGATACAGTCATCACATTGAATTTCCATTCAAAATAATATTAATAATAATATATATGTATTTTCTATCCCAGAGATTTAAGGTATTTGAAAAGAAAAAAGGCCGATTCCCACTAAATTCCCTCTGCTGGAGGATCATACGAATACTGATGGAAGTGAGAGTGTGCGCTCTTCTCATCTCGACATCCTCCCACTGTGCACCTGATTGACATGAGTGGATTTCTACACCCACCTGCTGTGTGGGCTTTTACAACCACTCTGTGCTGGAGAACTGAAGCTCTGTTCCTGTTCCTCAGAGCACCACCATGGGCTCATGTGTGGAGCACATTATGTAATATGTAAAGAGCCAGTGGTGGAGCAGCAGTCAGGTGACCACCTCTGCCACCGCGCTGCCGCTCAGCAGGCGACCAAACGTTTGAATCTTTAATGTGTTGCCGTTTTATTTAACATGATCTTCTCACACGTGGTGTGTTTTTAGTCACACAAACTGTTGACTGTTGTTGTCTGTTCATAAGGAAGACACTTTTTTATATTGTAAACAGATGTGTTTGCTGAAAGGACTGACTGTTTAATCTCCACATTTATCAACACTGTATTCCTGGTTCATGTTCTTTTTCTTTTCTTTCTTCTCTAGTGATTCCAAATGTAGATCCCTCTGTTCCAGAGTTAGGAACTGATGTTCAGATGGAACAGAGTCTCAGACCAGGATCACACTGGGACTACAGCTACACTGGGGGGAAAAAACTCTATATATCGCCCGGCCTAAAGTATCACAATATATTGTATTATTGCCCTGTATCGTGATACGTATCGTATCCCCAGATTCCCCACAAAACACAGCCCTGGTCCCCTGAGATCAGTCAGAGCAGCAGCCATGAAGCAGTTTGTGTGTGTGTGAAACTGATAATCAAGTATAACCCTTTTCAGTTCCTTAACTACGATCATTTTTTTTAACCAAACCAAACCTAGTTATGATGAAGTGGTGAAGTATTTCTGATGCTCTGGTTTGTCGCTGGTTAAAGGATTCAGGGAGTTTTCAAATCCACTGGAGTCGATTCACAGTCTCAAACAGAACGGCAGTGGAAACCACTGTGTCCATGTTCAGCCTTTACTCTCAGTCTGTGTTAATCCTAATGCTCTGCACATCTGTGCACCCCCGCCTCACTCCCCCCCCACTCACGTGTGCTGACAGATGAGCTGCAGGGCTGTATTCCCCCGACACTCGTCTCCCCCTTCCTCCCTCTCTCATTCACATTTCTCTTACATCATTACAGTAGACATTAGTGGTGAAGCCTGAGTGTCTTGTCGCTGCCGCTTTATTACAAACCAATGTAACAAAGATGGAGTAGAGATGTGAAGGAAAGGGTGAATAAAAAAAGATTATTTTATAGTTTCTGTTCTAAAAGGTTTGGATTCTCTGTTCAAAAACAGTCACCACATCAGGGCTGTGTTTGGGCAAGAATGTGACGATACGATACGTCTCACAATACGATATATTGTGATGTACTGCGATACTATAGGTCGGACGATATATTGATTTTTTTATTTTTACTGTAGCTGTAACAGTAGTCCCAGTGTGATCCTAGTCTAACTCTGGAACAGAGGGATCTACATTTGGAATCACTAGAGATGAAAGAAAAGAAAATGAACCAACACCAGGAATATTGGACTGATTGGACGGATTGGAGATGGAGAGAACCAGTCCATATGGCATTGATGTAACTACGGTGCTTTGAATTTTAGAATATTAATTCTCCAACCTTTTGTAGTCAGTCTATTGTTAAATGGCTCTGCGCCAAAACATTTCTTCAAAAACTCTATTTCTGCCACAGTTAGAGACAATTTTAAAACTGAAATTTGTTTTGCTTGGCCGTGCCCCAAAGGGGCCTCTCTCCCTAATTTGAGAACCAGTGAGCTAAGTAAAGATGTACAGTTGTGTCTCAATCTGAATTAGTGACAGTGATGTCCCCACTGGAGAGACGTGTCTGAGGCAGCAGAGGGTCACCGTGATTGGCTGAGGTGATGGAGGTCCTGATCTGAAGGTGAACTGAATTACAGCGCCACCCAGAGTTGAATGACAGTAACGACCGCTAACTGTTAAAAACGTTACCACAACAAGAACGACCAAGACAAAGTCTGTAGAATTCTACATCAAAAGGAATTGTCTGGTTTAATTCCACATTTGTCTTCCACTTCCTCCGTGTGAGTCCGTGAAGGAGAATCTCGCCCACCCCAGCTTTAAACCTTAAGGATTTTAACTCCTCCCTCTCGAGTTTCTCCACTGTGTGAACTCACAGCGGAGTGTGCTGTGGATCCGGGTGCGAGTGGAAGTTGACGACGTGACTATTTGATTTTAATCGTTTTGTGCAGAGCGGAGACCTGTTTTTGGTGGAAACGGGTCTCCGTCTGGCCCCGGGTCAGGTCAGACTCACGGACCGATGGAACTGGAGAGGAAGAAAAAGGGGAAATCACTTCGCTCAGGCAGAAGCGCCATTCACTGGCGGAGCAACGTTTAACCGCTCCATTTGTTTCTCTTCTTAGGTGGAAATGTATCTCACTGTCGTGTTTTGACAGCTCGCAATTTTTGGACCATGTAAAGAAAGTGTTTGCGCTCGTGTGTGGTGAGATATCGAGTCGGATATGTCTGATGAGACGCCGAGTAAAAGCGTGGAATGGCTGCAACTGGAGTTGGAGTCCGGGGCCACTTCTCTGCTGCTGCTGGACTGCCGTTCACACGAGCTCTACGAGTCGTCCCACATCGAGACCGCCATCAACCTGGTCATACCGGGGCTGATGCTGCGAAGGTTCAAGAAGGGCAACATTCCCATCCGGACCATCATTCCCAACCACGAGGACAAGGAGAAGTTCATACGGCGCTGTAAGACGGACGCGGTGGTCCTGTACGACGAGTGCACCCTGGACTGGCAGGACGGCGTGACTGCGACCTCAGTTCTGGGTCTGCTGCTCCACAAGCTGTGGGAGGACGGCTGTAGAGCATACTACCTGAAAGGTAAGGAAGTTTGTTCCTTAAATATGTTTTAAAGTGACGTCGAAGAACCCCAGTAAATGTGTCAGTTCTGGAGTTGATCATGTCAGAAACGAGGCGACTCTTTGACGTCACTCCTCCGCTGTTTAACTTTATTTACTTGTTTACTTTGTTCAAGTCTTCGCTTTGTCACATTAGCAACCACGTGTTGACATATTACTGATTTGTCAACTAAACTAAACGTAAACTTCTCCTTCAGGACAGAAATGTTCTCAGGGAGAGATGTCTTTTTTTTTTTTTTTTAAACTTTTCGATGTCGACTCTTCGCTAACGCTATCTATTTCCGGGTTGTTTTTGTTGATTTTTAACGCTTCAGAAAACCTCGGGTTAGCATGAAACGATAGCCGTGTGTTGTGTTACTGCTTTGTTGGAGGACGTAGAAAGTTTGGAGTGTAAACCGACTCACTCTCCGAGATTCTCAATTAAAATTCCAACATGGCAGCGCCATGTTTTGCTCCAGCAGGAACAGGCGTGTATTTCATGAATGGTCTGAGCTTGGCAGCCGCCCCGGCTCCGAGTTCGTCAGTGAGAGTTTACTTCTCCATTACTACCACTACGGTTCACATGCTGTAATCGGTCTCTATTCAGTTTAGTGAAAACAGCAGTTGTTATGAATGTCCCAAAACTATTTGTGCCTGTTGTTGATGTTGTTGTTGTTGTTGTGTCCCAAAACTATTTGACTGTTGTTGTTGTTGTTGTTGTTTTTGTCTAGTTTAATAAGAAAACTAAGTAGAAGATGTGTGTAAAATCACAGAAGTATATAACGATTTTTAAATATTTAAAAAAGGTGTATTCAGTAGGGGATATATTTGTGCTGTAGAGTCAATGAAGGAGTTAAAATAATTTAAAAACGTATTATAGTGACCTATGGCTGTGGTTCTCAAACTGTGGTACGAGGGTCCTTGATGGAGCTCTGTGTTTGGTTCCCAGGGTGAGCTGAAGTACTTAAGGTCGTACTTACTAAAGTCATACTACTTCGATGTACAGTGACCAGTGTCTAATGTGCGTTTGGTTCCCAGGGTGAGTTGAAGTACTTAAAGTTGTACTACTTCGATGTACAGTGACCAGTGTCGATCTGTTGTAGTTCTATGTTGGTCATACTGTTGATGGTCTGTTTTTAAGTTTGAGAACCTCATCTCAGATACATGAAACACAGAGATGACGAACGACAAAGTAAACAAACTGTTCCAGTAAAGTTTCCTCTTTTATTGTATTTAAAACATGTTTTTGTTTCATGTGTCCAGGTGGATTTGCCAAGTTCCACACCAAGTACCCGGAGCACTGTGAGACGCTCCTCGATAGTTCCTGTCCCAGTTCTTCTCCTCCGCTCTCTGTTCTGGGTTTTGGAAATCTCCGGATCAGCTCAGACTGTTCTGACGGGGAATCGGACCGAGAGCCGAGCAGCGCCACGGAGTCCGAGGAGAGTCCCCTCCCCAGTAACCAGCCTGCCTTCCCCGTCCAGATCTTACCCTATCTTTACCTGGGCTGCGCCAAAGACTCCACCAACCTGGACGTGCTGGGCCAGTACAATATCAAGTACATCCTCAACGTCACTCCTAATCTCCCCAACATGTTTGAGCACGACGGCCACTTCAGGTACAAACAGATTCCCATTTCGGACCACTGGAGTCAGAACCTGTCTCAGTTCTTCCCAGAAGCCATATCTTTTATAGGTGAGTAAGTTTTTATTACTACACCAGTACTACAGTATCTGATTTGAAAACTGCTCTTGGTTTGTGTTGATTTGCTCCACGTGGTGAGTGACGTTTGTAAAATTCAGTTCTTCTTTTATACCATATTTATTAGACACTAGGTGTTTGTTTGTTTGTTTGTTTGTTTTATATCAACTTGTTCCTCTAAGTACTGAAAGTTTGCAGACGCTGCTAACGTCATCAGTGCCTTCCGCCCAAAGTACAACGTGATATTTTAAAATACTGTTTGTGTGCGTGTTGCTGTAGCTGCATTTCAAACCACACCTTCTGCTGCGTTTGACTGTTTGTTTGTTTGATGGTAGTCGTTCAACCCATTATGATCACGTTCATAAAACGTTTTCAAGAATGAGGAAGGAAATGGTCTGTGGTGGTGTTTGAAGACACGTTGAAGTGTGACCGCTTAAAATGATTTTTTTTTCTGTTTGCTACTGTGACGCCTTACTAAGATACTTGTGAATTTTTATCAGTATTTTAATTTTAATTTTTCCAGCTGCTCTGTATGGATGTCAGTTTTCTAAAACTGTCTCCATTCAGAAATAGAAAGTCCATCTGCTGCCCCCTGCTGCAGCAATGTGGTTTTTACTCTTAATTTTTATTTTGTTTCATCACAAGTGCAGTGCTTCATACAAGCTTAG